TGGGTAGGGGTGGCTGTGGAACTCTCCAGCCATTGTTAGGCTCAAGAGTTTTCACCCCTCTCACTTCACACTTCCATGCTAATTGAAGTTGCAGCCAGTTCAGTTCAGTTCTGTCCTAGCAGTTTGGTAGCTTAGTAGCCTTATTTATTAAGCTTTATATAACAAAATTACCTAGAGATTATTGTCTTCTACTTTTTGGCTTCAGAAGTACAGTTGAAGTCGGAAGTTTACATACACTTAGGTTGGAGTCATTAAAACACGTTTTTCAACCACTCCACAAATGTCTTGTTAACAAACCATAGTTTTGGCAAGTCGGTAAGGACATCTACTTTGTGCATGACACAAGCAATTTTTTCAACAATTGTTTACAGACAGATTATTTCACTTATAATTCACTGTATCACAATTCCAGTGGGTCAGAAGTTTATATACACTAAGTTGACTGTGCCTTTAAATAGCTTGGAAAATTCCAGAAAATGATGTCATGGCTTTAGAAGCTTCTGATAGGCTAAATTACATCATTTGAGTCAATTGGAGGTGTGCCTGTGGATGTATTTCAAGGCCTACCTTCAAACTCAGTGCCTCTTTGGTTGACATCATGGGAAAATCAAAAGTATCTTATGATAAGCTGTAGACCACACTATTAACCAAGAGAGTTTTCATCTATATTTTTCATAGCTGTCTATTTACCACCCCAAACCAATGCTGGCATTAAGATTGCACTCAATGAGCTGTATAAGGCCATAACTAAACAGGAAAACGCTAATCCAGAGGCAGCGCTCCTAGTGGCCGGGGACTTTAATGCAGGGAAACTTAAATCCGTTCTACCTAATTTCTACCAGCATGTTAAATGTGCAACCAGAGGAGAAAAAAACACTAGACCACCTTTACTCCACACACAGAGACACATACAAAGCTCTCCCTCGCAAATCTGAACATAACTCTATCCTCCTGATTCCTGCTTATAAGCAAAAACTAAAGCAGGAAGCACCAGTGACTCGGTTAATAAAAAAGTGGTCAGATGACGCAGATGCTAAGCTACAGGACTGTTTTGCTAGCACAGGCTGGAACATGTTCCGGGATTCTTCGGAGAGCATTGAGGAGTACACCACATCAGTCACTGGCTTCATCAATAAGTGCATCGATGACGTCATCCCCAGAGTGACCGTACGTACATACCCCAACCAGAAGCCATGGATTACAGGCAACATCCGCACTGAGCTAAAGGGTAGAGCTGCCGCTTTCAAGGAGCGGGACTCTAAACCGGATGCTTATAAGAAATCCCGCTATGCCCTCCGACGAACCATCAAACAGGCAAAGAGTCAATACAGGACTAAGACTGAATCATACTACATCGGCTCTGACGCTCGTAGGATGTGGCAGGGCTTGAAAACTATTACAGACTACAAAGGGAAGCACAGCCGCGAGCTGCCAAGTGACACAAGCCTACCAGATGAGCTAAACCACTTCTATGCTCGCTTCGAGGCAAGCAACACTGAAGCATGCATGAGAGCACCAGCTGTTCCGGATGACTATGTGATCACGCTCTCCGTAGCCGATGTGAGTAAGACTTTTAAGCAGGTCAACATTCACAAGGCCACATGGCCAGACGGATTACCAGGACGTGTACTCCGAGCATGTGCTGACCAACTGGCAAGTGTCTTCACTGACATTTTCAACATGTCCCTGACTGAGTCTGTAATACCAACATGTTTGAAGCAGACCACCATAGTCCCTGTGCCCAAGGACACTAAGATAACCTGCCTAAATGACTACCGACCCGTAGCACTGACGTCTGTAGCCATGAAGTGTTTTGAAAGGCTGGTCATGGCTCACATCAACACCAATATCCCAGAAACCCTAGACCCACTCCAATTTGCATACCGCCCCAACAGATCCACAGATGATGCAATCTCTATTGCACTCCACACTGCCCTTTCCCACCTGGACAAGAGGAACACCTACGTGAGAATGCTATTCATTGACTAAAGCTCAGCGTTCAACACCATAGTGCCCTCAAAGCTCATCACTAAGCTAAGGATCCTGGGACTAAACACCTCCCTCCGCAACTGGATCCTGGACTTCCTGACTGGCCGCCCCCAGGTGGTAAGGGTAGGTAACAACACATCTGCCACGCTGATCCTCAACAAGGGGGCCCCTCAGGGGTGCGTGCTCAGTCCCCTTTTGTACCCCCTGTTCGTGCCTGGCATGACTCCAACACCATCATTAAATTTGCCGACGATGCAACAGTGGTAGGCCTGATCACCGACAATGATGACAGCCTATAGGGAGGAGGTCAGAGACCTGGCCGTGTGGTGCCAGGATAACAACCTCTCCCTCAACGTGGCCAAGACAAAGGAGATGATTGTGGACTACAGGAAAAAAAAGAGGACTGAGCACGCCCCCATTCTCATCGACTGGGCTGTAGTGGAACAGGTTGAGAGCTTCAAGTTCCTTGGTGTCCACATCACCAACGAACTATCATGGTCCAAACACACCAAGACAGTCGTGAAGAGGGCACGACAAAGCCTATTCCCCCTCAGGAGACTGAAAAGATTTGGCATGGGTCCTCAGATCCTCAAAAAGTTATACAGCTGCACCATTGAGGGCATCCTGACTGGTAGCATCACTGCCTGGTATGGCAACTGCTCGGCCTCCGACCGCAAGGCACTACAGAGGGTAGTGCGTATGGCCCAGTACATCACTGGGGCCAAGCTTCCTGCCATCCTGGACCTCTATACCAGGCGGTGTCAGAGGAAGGCCCACAAAATTGTCAAAGACTCCAGACACCCTAGTCATAGACTGTTCTCTCTGCTACCGCACGGCAAGCGGTACCGGAGCGCCAAGTCTAGGTCCAAAAGGCTTCTCAATAGCTTCTACCCCCAAGCCATAAGACTCCTGAACAGCTAATCATGGTTACCCAGACTATTTGCACTACCCCCCCCCCACCCCCACCCCATCTTTATGCATAGTCACTTTAACTCTACCCACATGTACATATTACCTCAACTAGCCGGTGCCCCCGCACATTGACTCTGCACCGGTACCCCATGTATATAGCCTCCTTACTGTTATTTTATTTTACTTCTGCTATTTCTTTCTCAACACTTTGTTGTTGTTGTTGTTTTATTTTACTTTTTATTAAGAAATAAATGCATTGTTGGTTAAGGGCTGGAAGTAAGCATTTCACGGTAATGTGTACACCTGTTGTGTTCGGCGCATGTGGTAAATACAATTTTATTTTATTTTATTTGAAATTGTAGACCTCCATAAGTCTGGTTCATCCCTAGGAGCAATTTGCAAACGCCTGATGGTACCACGTTCATCTGTACAAACAATAGTACGCAAGTATAAACACCATGGGACCACGCAGCCATCATACCGCTCAGGAAGGAGACGCGTTCTGTCTCCTAGAGTTGAACGTACTTTGGTGCAAAAAAGTGCAAATCAATCCCAGAACAACAGCAAACGACCTTGTGAAGATGCTGGAGGAAACAGGTACAAAAGTATCTATATCCACAGTAAAATGAGTCCTATATCGACATAACCTGAAAGCCCGCTCAGCAAGGATGAAGCCACTGCTCCAAAACCGCCATAAAAAAGCCAGACTACGGTTTGCAACTGCACACAGGGACAAAGATCGCACTTTTTTATAATAATAAAAATAATAATATGCCATTTAGCAGACGCTTTTATCCAAAGCGACTTACAGTCATGCGTGCATACATTTTTTTGTGCATGGGTGGTCCCAGGGATCGAACCCACTACCTTGGCGTTACAAGCGCCGTGCTCTACCAGCTGAGCTACAGAGGACCACTGTGTATTTTTGAGAAATGTCCTCTGGTCTGATGAAAAAATTTTAAACTGTTTGGCCATAATGACCATTGTTATGTTTGGAGGAGAAAGGGGGATGCTTGCAAGCCGAAGAACACCATCCCAACCATGAAGCACGGGGGTGGCAGCATCATGCTGTGTGGGTGCTTTGCTGCAGGAGGGACTGGTGCACTTCACAAAATAGATGGCATCATGAGGAAGGAAAATGATGTGGATATATTGAAGCAACATCTCAAGACATCAGTCAGGAAGTTAAAGCTTGGTCGCAAATGGGTCTTCCAAATGGACAATGACCCTAAGCATACTTCCAAAGTTGTGGCAAAATGGCTTAAGGACAACAAAGTCAAGGTATTGGATTGGCCATCACAAAGGCCTGACCTCAAGCCTATAGAAAATGTGTGGGCAGAACTGAAAAAGCGTGTGTGAGCAAGGAGGCCTACAAACCTGACTCAGTTAAACCAGCTCAGTCAGGAGGAATGGGCCAAAATTCACCCAACTTATTGTGGGAAGCTTGTGGAAGGCTACCTGAAACGTTTGACCCAAGTTAAACAATTTAAAGTCAATGCTACCAAATACTTATTGAGTGTATGAAAACTTCTGACCCACTGGGATTGTGATGAAAGAAATAAAATCATAAATCATTCTCTTTACTATTATTCTGACATTTCACATTCTTAAAATAAAGTGGTGATCTTAACTGACCTAAGACAGGGAATTTTTACTAGAATTAAATGTCAGGAATTGTGAAAAACTGAGTTTAAATGTATTTGGCTAAGGTGTATGTAAACTTCCGACTTCAATTGTAGGTTCAGACTGAACATTACTCACTCAGTTTTGTGTTGGATGGTATTTCCAGGTTCCGCTGTGTTTCTTCTGCAGGTTTTGGTTTGTAAAAAAAATGTTTTATTGATAGTCCTTGGTAGTAATAGTTCATTCAGGTAATTTTGTACAAAATCAAGGTTTTAGGTATTGAATTTTGATTTGGATTGAAGGTTTTGATGTTGAGGTTAGTATCCTGTATAAGTCCTTGCGAATAAATTCAAGTTTATCTTCATTTATCTAACTCTAATTCTATCTTTTTGCAGAAGAACTCAAGAGCCCACACTACCTCTCTCTCTCTCTCTCTCTCTCTCTATTTCTCTCTCTGCCTCTCTCCCTCCTTCTAGCTGGCCTCCAGTAAAGCCAGTAGTAATATGGAGCCCTTCCCCCAGTCGATTCAGATACACATGTGTCTCATGGACAGTCAGGCGGTGCTGGAGGACTTTGCAGACGTGACCCAGTACGAGAGAGGCCACCTGAACCCAGACCAGCACCAGTCTGAGCCCCTGGAAAAGGCAGCCACCTACACCCTGACCAATGTAGTGCCTTAGTTCAACACCGGCCCCTGGGCCCAGCATTTGGACCGCATCAGACAACGCCTCAACAACTACTGCTGTGGCAACACCTATGTCGACACAGGAGTCACCTCGGCCGGGAACATGATCTGACGGGACAACCAGGACTGTGTGGGCATCCCAGAGTACTACATTGTAGAATAATAGTGAAGCCATCAAAACTATGAAATAACACATAAGGAATCATGTAGTAACTAAAAAAGTGTTAGGCAAATCAAAATATATTTTATATTTGAGATTCTTCAAATAGCCACCCTTTGCCTTGATGATGGCGTTGCACACTCTTGGAATTCTCTCAACCAGCTTCACCTGGAAGGCTTTTCCAACAGTCTTGAAGGAGTTCCCACATGTGCTGAGCACTGTGTTGGCTGCTTTTTGTGGTCCTCTGTAGCTCAGCTGGTAGAGCACGGCGCTTGTAACGCCAAGGTAGTGGGTTCGATCCCCGGGACCACCCATACACAAAAAAAATGTATGCACGCATGACTGTAAGTCGCTTTGGATAAAAGCATCTGCTAAATGGCATATTATTATTATTATTATTACATGTGGACGGCAGACTGCTGGCCAGACTACGACCACAATGCCCCCTACCTAGAGCGCTACTGCCTCCCCGTGTTTGGGGCCTACGGCCTGAATGATAGGGTCAACAATGCTGTGGTGGAGGTGCCTATCAAGACCCTAGAGAACTTTCTGAAAGGACGGATGGACGTGGACAAGTACTACCTACAATGATTGTGTGCCTGATAACATGTAGCCATACTAGAAAATATTTTGTCTCTAGCTAAATGATGAAAGACATAAAAGAAAGGTTGTAGTATTGTGTTGTAGTGCAGATGTATTTATTCATACATACACTAGAAGGTGCTTCTGTCAAACTTCTGTGGTCAAATGTTTTTTTTAAAAGACTAAATAACTGCTTTGAAGCAAACTTTTAAAGGTTATGTGATTGTGAAGAAATGCAAAATACTGATGGAACTATGTAATTTGATTTGTATTGATTGACAAAGAGTCGAATGACAAATTGTGCTGTGCTTGGTGTAAAATTATTTATCTCATTTCCTACATGCATCTATTACATCCAGGGGAGAACGACGGCAGGTAGCTTAGTGGTTAAGAGCGTTGTACCAGTAACCGAAAGGTCGCTGGTTCTAATCCCCGAGCCGACTAGGTGAAAAATCTGTCGATGTGCCCTTGAGCAAGGCACTTAACCCTAATTGCTCCTGTAAGTCGCTCTGGATAAGAGCGTCTGCTAAATGACCAATTTATTTTTTATTTTTTAACAACTGCCCCTCACATTGAGGATTTCAAGTTGAAGGCCGACCGCGGTACTGCAGGCATTGTTTCCAGAAAACAGGATCCCCATTATAGAGAATGGGGAAATGGCGATCTTCGTGGTCAATATTCATGGCTATATAAAAAATCATCGAACACCATGGAACCAATAATTGCTTTTATTTCACCAGATGTATGTCCTTGAACCGATTACTTTAAAATCACTCACAGACAAAGTTAAAAGGATAATTTACCTGCTAATGGCAGCCTGCAGTACCTCGTCGGCCTTCAACTTGAGAAACTCAATGAGAGGGTGCAACACTGAGCTAGCCTGCAACGTCACTTCCTAGAGTTGCTCAAATTGTGTATCTAATGTTTCCAAAAACTCCATGTAGCAAAATGGTGACACTTCCTGATCTTCTTGCGCCACTGAGCATTCTCATAGGAAACAATGAAATGACGTCATCGGTGGCTTCGTCTAAAATTATTTACAGTCTATGATTACATCAGAGTAAACTTAAAATTATAATTGGGCTTCTAGACAATGCTGTAATGCAGAATCACATCACTGCTGAGACGTTAGGCCCTGAGCCACTGGCTGTGACAGAAAACCAGAACCATTAGGAATGTAGGTCAGAGGACAGGAAGGGGTTAAATGCACCCTATTGGCAGAATTGACCAGACATAAAAAAGGCTTTTAGATGCATCTGTCTCTTCTTTTCATTGCTAAAGCACAGCTGAGTGGTTCCTCTGTGGTTCCTCTGTCCTTGTTGGCACTTGTAGTCTTTTTGGTCTATACAAATCCCTGCAGCTATATTTATAGATCTGTATGCCTAGAACTGCAAATCATCCCCAAACAGGACAGACTATAGGCTACACATCCCTGGTATACCTGTATATGTATAGACTCCTCGCATAGACCTGTCTGTGCTAAATTACTTTCCACACACATAAAACAGAGAAAATATCTTAAGCACAATAATAAATTAGGTCATTGAATCAATGTTCATTCAAAGCACAGGGTCGGTAGCCCCGGGTTGCCGCCAGATAGCATATGATAGGAAAATGTGTAGAATTGCAGGAAATGTGTTTTAAAAATGCTAAATATTTATCTCAGCCTCATGGCAAATTGTGAACAAAAGCATGAGATGAGCTATAAAACAGCAACAAAGTATCTCTAACTCATGACAAAAATGTGTAGAATAGCATTATAAAAATGCACAGTTTTCTCTCTGCACCATGGCGCAATGTGTTGAAATGCAGTAGGTTAGCTGATTCGCCCCTCCAAAATCCCCCCCCCCCAAGGTCTGCTAAATGATGTAAATGTAAGGTCAGTGCCCCAGGCCCCAAATGCAGAAATCCGGTCCGGTTTCCAGGAAGGCCTACATCAATGTCATCTGATTTAGAAAAGTCCGCTGAAGAATGACAGCCTCTAATTGCATGCTCAGCATACAGTGGTAAGATAAATCAATAAGTACATGGTAGTTTGCCAAAACACGACCCGGTTAACCTGTAATGAAAGTAACAGAACGGGGCAGGGGCAGTTGCGGGAACCACATGTTTCCATTTGCGGATGCTTTCCAAAGTCAAGCGATGAGCAGAGCGGGTTCCGGGTTCCTATAGCTCAGTGGGTTCACATGGGCATGTTAAGTACAAAAACTTTTTTTTTTGGAACGGTGCAGATAGAAATGCATGAATATAACTGACATGATTCCTTAGAATCAGAGGCATGTTTCTTCTACATTCTACATTTGTATCTAAACATTGGCCAACATTGTGTCAGTGTCCGTCCTTTTGCTGAACGCGGCCCTGGTACCAAGCGTCCCTCGTACACAAATTGTCCCTACCTATGTGAAGCTAGCCACAATAACGATTAGCCACAATAGTGGAATTTGCAGTTCGCTTTCAAAATAAAAATCCCTAATTGAAAGTGATGCAAACGGATACAAATAGTGGAATCATGCCATATTTGGACTAAATAATGCAAAACAAGGTTGGAATATTTTTTTACATAATTTAAGATTAAATACAATATAAAAACGGTTAAAATCCCACTATGGATGTATCAGACTGACTAATTGCATTGGGGGCATACTTATATGCACTGTACAGCCTTATTTATGGACAGTGCACCCATGTAATGGGGTATCAGTGACACCCACAGAACAATATTTGTATATATTTGTGTAAACTCTTGTGAATTGTGTTTCAGAGAACTACAGGCAGAGCTAACATGCTAATATTTGTGTAAACTTATCATAGTTGTGTTCTTGTGGGTGTCACTGAGAAGGTGATTTCCCACAGTCAAAGTCCTGCAATAAGTGCTAAGACGCTAATATTTGTGTAAACTCTTGAGCATTGTTTTCTGCAATTCAGGGCGTTCCTGCATGTAGGCATTCCTGCATCTGCATCGAGCATCCCATTGGTTCCTGCATGAACGCCCCACCCTGGAGCGCGCCATGTTCATGCTTGTGTGACAATTTTGATATTCTGGATTTCCCCTGATTGTCTATGCGATTAAAATGTGGATCAAAAGGTAAATAAAAGTATTATCTGAGTTTTTCGGAGGCGAAGGACCGGTGACCTAGCTAGGACACGGTGTCCTTCGTTAATGCCTGCCGAACACCTGCCCTCACCGTCCTTAACAGAACTGCGGGAAAGCAGTGCCCGACAGGCAGGGGCGAAGAACATTGTCTACCGGTGTCCTAGCTAGTTAGCTACCTATCCCGCCTGCTGTGTACCGGAGTCCAGTGTCCTTCCTTCCCACCTGCCCTTACCGTCGTTAACAGAACTGCGGGAAAGCTGTGCCCGACTGTCTACCGGTGTACTAACTAGCTAACAACCGTTGTCACCATCGCCTCTTCTTCTTCTTCTTCTTCTTCTGTGGGGTTTATCGGCGGTTGGCATCCAACGTTATGGTGCATTACCGCCACCCACTGTACTGGAGCCAGGGTGTGAATTACGGCAAGCTCCCCTGAATGAGACATTAGCTCCCCTAAACGCAACAAAAGTCAAACTTTGGGGGGTCTCATACTAATTTAACCATTCTCCTATTTGTTTAAAATACAGTGGCAAATTTGTTTTACAGTGGTAAAAATGAAAATAAAAGCTTACAAATTAAACCAATATCCCCACCTCTATGTCATGGTTTAAACCGTGTATTTCTACATGGCTGCACAAATCGTCTCCCTGTCCACGAATTATATTGTAGAATTCTATAGCTGGCTGGATAGCGGTGCTGTCTATTCAGTAGTGCTGGATTTTGGCCTCAGCTACGCTCCTTTACATGTATTTTTTTTTTTTTTATTTCACCTTGATTTAACCAGGTAAGCCAGTTGAGAACAAGTTCTCATTTACAATTGCGACCTGGCCAAGTTAAAGCAAAGCAGTGCGATAAAAAAAAAAAGCACAGTTACATATGGGATAAACAAAACGTACAGTCAATAACACAATAGAAAATCTATATACAGTGTGTGCAAATGTAGTAAGTTATGGAGGTAAGGCAATAAATTGGCCATAGTGCAAAATAATTACAATTTAGTATTTAGTAAATGCATAGATTTTCCTTTGTACTTCCTCATTTCCGCCATTTGTTTGCCATGCATCCTTGATAACAATAGCCTTCATTCCAAAGCCTTAGCTGTATAGTTGATTTATCATTGTTTGCTTTGGTCAGTAAGCTGTTTAGAGCACTCTCATTGCTTTGTTTTTCAGGTGGGCGCGGGTATTGGTGTTCTCCTTGCCGTCCGTGGCCAGAAGAAGTAGACCATTTATTTAGCTTTATTATTTTCTGTCAATATTTGTTTTCTTTCCTGGATAAGCTGATGATGGTCGACAATATCACTAGACAACTAGTTTACAGCTAGACAACAACGTCACTACTTCATCCGAAGCTGCCGCCTCTCCTTGTTCGGGCAGGCTTCGGCGTTAGTCATCACCGACCTTCTAGCCACTGCCGCTCCTCATCTCATCATTCCATCTGTTTTGTCTTGTTTATTACACACACCTGGTTCTGTGGAGCTCCTAGTATTTTGTATTGCCGGGATATTTTCCCGTGTGCCTTGTTGTTTTCAGTGCGCCTGTTTTGCGCACTGGAGTGTTTTGCTTTACTGCGTAACCTTGTGTTGCGGAATAAATCATTTTATTCTGTGATTTACCCTTCTGCGCCTGACTCCTTCTAAATCCCCCATCACAACCAATGCGCATCCAATCCATCCAACAATTATACGTTAATGACAGTAGGCCTATAGTTGACACTTTCGGTTAGAAACATTTGATTTTGCAATGGCATAGGCCTACATTATTTTGTGTGCCCATGAGAACTGTTTTCACGGCGAAACATAATTAAATGTTACGTAGGCATAGTTACACTTACAGTGCACTTTCTGAGCTCTCCAAGATTCAGGATTCATACAGGGTTTAAGTTCAATGTTTTAATTCAATTGTCAAATGCTTAATAA